CAGGGCATTAGTTCTATTCTGAAGAGCCTGAGACAGAGCCCCATTTCCGAGTTCGTAATGGGTCGCATGACTGAGGGCAGACGGTTTTGGGTTATGAGCGAAATGACAGTTGGCGGGTGAGAAGTAAGCACATTCACAAGAAATGGCAAAAAATATGCCCAACACAATTCAGCTCGAAAGAAAGTGAAATGCGGACAGAGCAGAGAGCATCTGCATGCCATGGTGGCGTATCATGTAAGCGAATAACAACACCGTCACTGGTTTCAGCACCCACCAGCAACTATTCGGGCGTTGCTGATGGCAAGACCACACCTTCATTGGTCGGCTCAGAGCCGAACACATCATCGATTATGTTCTGCTGAGACGGTGAAACCGCTTCCGGGTCTGTTAAAATAAATAGAAATACGTTTTATCATTCTTATTTTCTACTTTACACTCCGAATTGACTTTCAACTTGACGATTCAACGAACTTGAAGGGCGAAAATTTTGAGAAAACGGAACACTTTACCTAACTTTTTCTTTATTGAGATAAAATTGAGATAATGAAATAGTTTAATCATGTAATGCACTCTGCTAAAGTAAGTGCGACCCAACAGCCCGTTCAGATGGCTTGAGAAGCAAGGGGAGAAAAACGTCTTTGTCTTTGTCTTTGATGACTACGGTTGGTGAACCGGTTCAAAGACCAGCAACTGAACGATAACGCGTGTGTTTTATGAACCCATTTTATGAAGTCTTCCGACCACTTATGAATTCGCGTCTGATGATAGTCAACAGGCATCGGTAACGAGGACATTGAACGCATATTAACTTGGTTTTACATTGCGATCAAAATCAAATGAGCCCATGAATAAGGGTTACCAATCAGTCAAATGTAAACTATGGAAACCATAGTCTAACCATGAAAAATCTAAATCATACAGAGGAATCGGCACGTACTTTAGTAAATCTGATCCATTTTACTCGTTAGGTGAACTGGAGACTATGACACGAATTAAGGAACCTAAATTGGTAATATGAGCGGAGTGTGTCGATAACAAACTCACCTTGAGGATGAAGTTTAGTGATCCAGACAGTGAGTCGACGTGCAAGGAGATAGTGCTCGGCTGTGATGCGGAGATACTCGATGTTAGTTGCCGCCCGCACTGTGTAGTCAGGTAGGAAACGCGCTCTCGCTGCTAACTGAGCTGACTGCAATTCGGGATCCTTGAGGGTTGACACCTCCGGAAAGATATCATTTACATCTATAGCAACACCGAAAACGGCATTGTCGGCAGCCTCGATACGCCTACATTTCTCGATTCATTTAAAAAACATACCTATCGGGTCATCCACGTGCGCTACATTCGTTTTGCTAACGATATTTGTTTATGTTGCAATGACTCGGGTAAGAGTTCCAAGTACTTCATTGAAAAACAAAATTCAGGAAGATCAAGCAAAAACTAACCAACGCGTTACCGTGAGCATGCTCGAAAACGGTGACGTTTATTGGTCCACAATACTGGATATCGAATGAGATAAATCAGCTAAATTCAGTACTGCATTCTTCAACTGGGAATAGCAGACAGAATAGTTCTTATTGGTGGGATACGAAGTCTGGCTTCGAGCCAAATTCTCCCTGGCAAAGCTTCGTAGCTCTCTAGAAATTCCTTTAGGCGAACTATTGTCGCCAACGTTCAAAACCAAAAAAAACGCTATTTCATGCGACGCAACTCACATTTCGAACTCGGTTTCGATCAATCAAGACAGGTCTAGGAAGAGATGCCAAAAAACCATCCCATCAAATTGTACACGTTATTAAACCTTACATTATTGTCCCAAACCTCTAAAGATACGTGTCCCATGATGTGGTAGAGAAAATCATCGAGTGGCCTCTCAAGACAATAGGATCAAGCCCTTTGACTTCATGCGCAGAGGTTTGGTCTCAGTTTCGTGAAATTTAGGTCCTGGCCTCTTTTAACTTTCGTCATGCTAGTAGGGATCAATGCGAACAGAATTATGCGGATTCGAAGAGGTTCTACAAGACGATAGAATGATTTGCACGCAATCACTGATACCTTCTGCTAAGGGTGGTAATCAAGGCTGCAGAGGAGTCCAAAGTGTACTTAGTAAGCTCGGCCACAAGTCAATGAAAAGCTTAGTCAGCAATATCCTTATTACCATGACCGTAAGGCTGGGATTGAGGTGTGAAGATTCTCGTATCTCAAACTGCGCAAAAAGTGGTAGTGTAATCCCTTGACAATGTTATTAAACTCTTCAATAAAAACCGAATACAAGAGCACAGAGCGACTCACATTTGAATACAGTTTCCCCGAAGAGCATGAAAGGTCCAGCTTCGAAGAGAAGTTTTTCGTTGCTGGTCTCTACTAAAGCTCTGCCTTGTAAAATGAGCACTGCATAATTCGCCCACTGGTTTGCTTTGTAAATTATATTGTCATTTTCATCATGGGAGCTACGTGAAGAGAAGTCATGCAGCTTATGCCGGTTTTTGAGAAATGAGAAAGTAAAGAAATATCAAGTAAACTCTTGTGGATTAGCATGATTCAGCAGACATCCTACTTGAAATAAAGCAAAGGTGATACAGTAGCCATGTTACGAAAACATTTTATGAATTAACCGCAAGATAATGCAGTTCAAATATAAGCTTTGATTTCATTAAAAAACTTACAATGAAACGTTTTGAAAGGATCAAACAACTAGTGCGAAAATTTGAAATTTAGCATGAATACTGAGGTGTGAGGCGTAACATATGACAAATGTAACCAAAGTAAAATAGCAATGCTTCAGGAAGAACTTTATCCTCAATACCTCTGGTGACTGCAAACATGACATGGACCTTGACCTATGAATCGCCAGTACTTGGAGATCGAGAGTCTGGATGATTGTTTAGCATTGAATCAAGAGTATTTGCCAACGTCAAATAATAAAAACCAAAATCACGATCATAACCACAAGGTAGCACATAAAATGAATTCACCTACTGAGCCAGGTTTCAAGAGGTACTAATTTTTGCACGCACTAGGTAATTTTAAAACGATTTCCTGTTCAAAAAGGCTTCCCAACTAATTACTTGGGGCTAGTAAAAACCCCTCAGAAATAGCAGAGAACCTCACGTTTGAGGCAATGGCAACCAAAAAAGGAACTCCCTCAGGCATTCTATACTAGTGTTAGTTCTAACAAATTCATGTTTGACCCAAAGGCATGCGCAAGGGTTGACAGATGAGCAACACGACACGGTTGTATTAAGGAGAATTCGGTTGATACTTTCTAGCGCTTATTTTAGCAAAAGTCAGTCGCCAAAGTCCAGAGCCATGGGCGGTGAACATATGAGCCAAGTCACTAAACTGTGCACTAGACGGTACATATTCCAAGGGCTTATGTTAGAAAAAAAGTTACGAGTTATACCTTTCAAACGACAATAAGAAAGATACTTTCTATTTTGCTATTTCACTTACTTGAACACCTGGTTTATGACGACGTTAGAATTTAGCATGCTTTGAAGCACGGACAGAGCGACGTATTCATCCTTGAAAGCATCGACGTCTAAAAAGTGGAAGCCCGACACCTTGGATTAGTGTACTTAAAACGTTTGAGCAGTGTCATTTTCAAAGGTTTATTTCCCTTGGAACACGAAGGTTAATTTGCAAGACAGAGGTCATTGGTAATCACATTAAAGGATGGGTGGAAGACTTATTGGTGGTCCTCTTTTCATTGACTGAGAAGGGGAGATCGCATGAGATCGGCTTGCAGACGGTTTACATTTGAACAAGCAGTATAATTTTAGAAATCGGCAACAAGAAACGCTTACGATGGAGACAAGAAGCCAAAACCTCTGGTATTCTTCATTACATTCATCTAAGCGTACTTGTAAAATCATCCAACCATCACTACTATCTTGATGACAAAGCG